CAAACAGCTAGGTACTAGAAAATTGTTAAGGCAGAGAGAAGCTAAACTGAATTTGTCTCTTTAAAATATATAGGATAAATTAAAGAAATATAAATTTCTCCTACTGTAATTCAAACTAATTAAGGATGTGTCCATGGTTTTGCGTACTGCCCCCATAGAACACAGCCTACGTTTGGTAATTAACAGACCCTCCATGAGTATTCTGCCTGGATTGAGAGTTCTTTAAGATACATAGTCAAGACAGATAAATTGTGTCTTGAACACACTGAGAAATGTTGGTGAGTTGACTAATGGCATTGGCTTTCGAGTAATTGAGTGATAATGTCACACAAATCTACATGTTTTCTGTTTGTGGAAGATTCAGTTAACTTTTATTTGTATATTTATGGGTCAGGGACTCCCAGAGGTGCTCAGGAGGCCTAATGGCTCCTCCTGATCATCCCTGCATCACCAGGTTGTTGGTTCAATGCCAGAGCCTGAAGCCTGCATTGCTCTAGCCCTGTAGTGACAGAAATTTCCTGGACCATCCTAAACTTCTTGGGAACCTGCATGACCACACAGACTGTTGCTCAGAGGCCCTCAAGTGCTCAGGGGTTTTCATTGGTGCACCCAGAGATACTCAGAGGATCATGTGGTTCCAAGGACCAAATCTAGTCCTATACTATTTCTCTGACCCCTCAGTTAAATTTTTATCAACTGATTGTTCTTAAGCCTTTTGTCTTTTTGTAACCTAAAGGACACTTTAAGAAAAAAAATTGCTTTGTAAATTTCTTTCTTTTCTTGTCTTCTTATTTTCATGATTCATCACTAAGTCTTTTTTCATGTCTTCATCACCAGTGCAATAAAAAACTGAAAAATATCCTCTTATTCACTGTACTGAAGCAAACTGCATGCATTTTGTGCTTTGATTATGATTCCTGGGCAGTGACATTGAATGTTTTATTCTCACACACATACACTTTCTCTTTACTGTTTCCGTACTCTCTGGTTTGAAACATTGTTTTCAGTCAGGGTAGACTAACTCAATATCCACCAGTTTGGTAAGAATCACTTGAGAGCAGTATTTTGAAGAATTCAAATTTCTGTTGCTTCGCTACTCTTTTCTTGTCCTCTTATCTATGTTATCAAGTCTGGGAACAATCAGATACTGGTATGGCTCTTGGGAGTCATTTATGGCAAGACAAGTCTGATGCACATTGTTACTGGAATATTTTGTGAAAAACGACTTAGCTAGTGATTGTTCTCTTCCACTTGCCTATGTCTCTTCCTTCTCTTCCTCTTCTATTTCTAGAAAATGGGTAAATTTTTTTTTGGTGGGGGGTGGTTTGTGGGCCACAACCAGCAGTACTCAGGGTTGCTCCTGGATCTGTGCTCAGGAATCAATCCTGGTGGGTCTTGAAGGATCACATGTGACTGACCTGGATTCAGTCCCCAGGTCATCACATGCAAGGCAAGTGCCCATCTCACTGTACTATCTCTTTGGTCCCCACAAAAAGAGGTAATTATAAGCCTATTTCATAAATTATTAATATTAAACAGCACAAAGTTCTTCCCACCACATAAATTATTCCCACATCTGCCAGTAGATAAAATCCCTGGTTTAGAAGATAGACTTCCTGATTGGACTGGATGTGCTTATACCCTTCAATTAACCCATGCACCTACCCTGTGCTGCCTTCTTATAAAATTAAACTAATATGTGTGTTAGTATGTAATATATAATGTGCAATATTCCCTCCTGTCAATATTGAGGAAATTTAAATGTGGTAAAAGATACAGAAATGCTTTATAAATGGTAGAGGATTTTACAAAAACTATTAACAGATACTGCATTTTAAAACTCATCTGTTAAAATACTGGAGCTTCTTTTTTAATGATGTTTTGCATCAGGGATATTGAGCTACTCTGCCAATGTTTCTGATCAAACATATGGTCGAGGAGAGACAATTGTGATCTCGCTGCATTTTAAGTTATGGCATCTCAGCCCATCCTCCCCAGATACATTTAGCAGCTTTGCAAAATAATTTCACATACTCAGAAATTGTGGATTTGCAGATACTTAAATCAAAATCCAAAAATTATCTTCTCTGTGTTTCCAGTGAAGCCTCTTCCCTCCACATGGAATATAAAGTATCAGATACTAACAATAGAATATTAAAAGCCAGATCCAAAGCAATTACCCACAGCTTTGGAGAACAGTCCCACACACAGATGGTGCCCAATCAGAAGGTCTGTATCTGTCACCCACCATCTCTGCTACTCACAGAAACAGAATGTCAGAGTTGCAAAGGATCTTACAGACAATTCTTCTCAAGTAAAACAACCGGGGCGATTGTGGCACGGGAAAGGGCCTCCATCCTCACAGTCCTGTATGGATGGAGGCTTAGAAAAAGCATCAGAAACTAGGTCCTTGGTCTCTGATTCCCTGTTCACATTGCTACACGCTACTGCTGCCTTTGGTGAGCTGGCAGGGTGATCTTGTCCTTGACAGTGAAAGGGGCCCAGCAGGAATGGTTAAAACCATGTACATTGAGTGTGATCTGTTGCTGAGAAGGAGGTCTCAGGGTGAAACACAACATGCGATGATGCTACCTCTTTGGTGAACTCCTTAACACCACATGCCACTCACTCAGTTAACAAATCCATGCACTAGGGTACACTGAGACAGTCCAAGCCCAAACACAACACAAGGACACCCATTTGCTTTGTCAAGGGAGAGTGCTGGATATCAGTCCTGGATTGAGTTAGAGTGTGAGCCACTATCCTTTTTCTGTGACTCATTCTTTGGCAATGATCAGATTGATGTAGTCTGAAAGACAAAAAGAGGAGTGGCACATGTATCCAGTTGCAATTCCCTGGGAATCTGACTTTATTTGAATCTCTGAAAAGATTTTACGGGGGCTACTGTAATTTTTTGAAAAAGCTTCACAGAGAACTTCCTCCATTCTCTCTTGTCCCTCTCTAAAACATTCTCTGTGACTCCCCATGACCCCTCTTTCCTGCCTCACCGTGTATTTTTTCCTCATTCTTTATTTTGTTTGCTTTCCTAGTCTTATCCCCTCTGATTTTTCTTCCTACTGTCCTCTTGCTTTCGAACACTTGTCCTTCCATGTAGGGTCCCTAATTCTGCACCACAGAAAATTTAAGTGCCAACTGGCATAAAGCAAAAATACATTTAATGGTTAGAAGGAGTGAACAGGAAAGGGTTCTGTGTTAATGTCCCAGTTGTACTGTGTTTTAAAAAATGTCGTGTCACACCGTGCTATTTGGCTTAGATTTCTTCTGCCTTAGAGTCTGTCATAGTGGGATGTGGGGATGCTAGAGACCATAGCACCTGAAATCAGGACTTATGCTTGTTCTCCAGGAGATAAATGGCAGTATGGTAGGATGATTTAGAGGACAAACTTCGGGATTAAAAAGGACCCAAATGTAAAATATAACCATATAAATATAAACTGGGGGGAAAATTGCAAGGTATTCTAAAACATAGTTTCCTTATCTGTTCCAGAGAGAACTCATAAAATATGTAATTAAATGATTATAGTCCAGCCCTATTCCAGGCACACTACTCTAATAGGTGGTAGTGGGGTTATCTGTTTTAGTTTTGGTTTGGGAGCCAGAAACGGTGGTTTTTCCGGTTCTGTGCTCAGAAGTTGCTCACGGTAGTGCCATGTGCCATCCAGCAACCAAATCTTGTCCTTCCGCAGGCAATACATGCACTGCACTCATTAGGTTATATGTCTCTGTCCCACAGGGGTGATTTTGATTGAGGCTAATAATTACAGTGATAACAAGAATGATAGACAAGGAATTTGGGCAATGAGAAGAAACCCAAACATCCTTATTTTTTCTTTTTCCCTTCCTTCCTCTTCATTATTTTTCTTTTAGTATATATACTTAATGAATGATACCTAAAATGTAGGGTTAGATAAAAACATGAGGTCACATCTTAAACTAGCTAAAGAGCTCTACTTGAAAATAACAAGAAAAATCTGGAAGAAAGAATGTACAAGCAAACATAAATCAAAAGCTGTGTTCAGAACATGTAGCAAGCCCATAAATAGTTAGCACTCATTATTTAGGGAAGAGATCTTGCATATTCCGTTGCAATAAGAATAACCTTCCAACCACAAAGAAGAGACATTTGCAAGAAGAAAGTTGCTGACCAGAATTGAAGCAAAACATTTAACTCTCTCTGAGCCAAGACATGTGTACTCAAGGGCTTAAAGAAATTCACTAATAAGATCTCTGACTAGTGCTCTTTCAACTCTTTCAATGACCGGGGAAATCATAGGACCCAAATATATTGCTCTCATTCTTAAAGAACTATTAGCCAGAATGCAGAAACTATGGGTTCATACATAGAAGTAGATCTTATAAAATCCTAAGACAGTTATTGCAATTCACACATGATTTGTGAGAATCAGTGTTTCTTCATTAATATATGATCTCTGTCAACTAATTTCATTATCTATTTGGCAGAGGTACAAGCCATTAGATAAAGCCTCCCAGAAGATTGCCATTCTAGGACCACTGTACCTGTTTTCTGAAAAGGTTTTTGTGGTAACCCAGAGTTCTCTATTTTAGCATTTTTTACTCATTGTTTTTTGGGGGTTTGTTTTTGATTTTGTTTTTTGTTTTGTTTTGTTTATTGCCTAAAATCAAACTCTTTCTTGGTATTGTATTAGTGATCATAATAAGACTTTCTGAGGACAGTTCTCTTTAGAGTAGTGAAAAGAAAAGCATGATCATGTGGATATTAAAAAGGGGCTTAAAATGCATAGTCTGGGGGCAGAGAATGTGGGCAGCAGTTCCAGAGAGTCAGTCACAGGAAGGAGATTTTGACTGGATGTAATAATTTCTTTACAAATACCTAAATGTTCCTAGGCAGGGCTAACCACCTGTATGTGTGGCATGGGGGACTTTCCTTATACCTATTGACTCTTTCCCAGTGACACCCATTGCAACTCTCAGGTTCTGTCATCTTCTTCTGTCTCCAGGGATGCAGTGGACTGTGGTGGTCAATGGGAGAGTCAGTGCAACCCCGCGGCAACATCTCCTTTGGTGGCTACTCAGTCTAGTGGCACTTAGTCCCCTGGGGCAGTGACCCAGAAGACTGTCATCCCTTGGAGAAGGGCCAGGTCCTCACTGCAAGGCACAGGACTGCACTGGTATCTCTTCACCGAACACCGGCTGGCTGTTGGGGCAGCCACCCTTGCTCACTGGACTGTCCTCTGAGATTCCAGCAGATGGCATTCCTGGGAGTCAAGGGACAGGATGTTACTCTCTGTTCGCTGGGAGTTCTCTTCCTAGAACCCCCCAGGGAGGAGTCTTTTCATCTCCCAGTACTTCATCTCCCTAGCATATCGCCTTTGCTTCATGCTGTTGTTCCCAGTACGTTCCCTTCCTGTGCCTGATTTATCTCACTCATTCCAAACACTGTCACTCACTGTGTCCTATCTCAGTCGTGAATGTCTCCAAATATGTCTTCTTTGCTTTCCCTGCTCACAGACACTGTCAAAACACATCCTCCAGGACCCATCTTGGTCTGAGTCCTGTTCCAAAAGCACACATTTCTTGCTTGTTCACATCTGTCACGTCCATGTTCAAACTGTGTCCCCATCCTCCTCAGTGCCAGTCACCAGTACATTTCCGGCATGTCTGGATCCAAATCTGTAATTCTCTTGGCCAGCCTTGTGTCTGTCACAGACTTCCACCACTCTTCCTTAGGTCCAGGTGCAGTCCTGCTCTTCAGGCATATTTCAGAAAACAGAAACAAGGGCAAAGTTCTATCAGAAGAGCTGTCTCTCTAGAACATCAGAGACAAGCAGAAGACAGCCTTCCCTGCCTCCATCCCCCATTGCCAAGGCCTCAGTTCCCTGTTCTGAGATGATCAATTTTCCTTTGAACTGGAATGGGATATCTTCTCCTAAAGACTCTCGGATTGGTGACAGTGGAGTGTTAAAGATGTCAGAATTGCTGCTGGAAGCTTATGAGGAAGCCAGTGGTGTTGATTCCAAACCCTTGAATCGGGCTTTTCTGTTCCCAAAGGAGAGACCTCCTGGATGTACTCACTGAAGAGCCCTCAGGTAGACAAGCAGACCCAGCAGGTGGGGAACGTAGAGTAGAGACTTGACATCAGAGGACCTATATTCTACCTGTATCTGCTCCTATTTTGCTGGCAGATCTTAACTTTCCATCTCTGGCCCTCACTTTGAACATCTGTCAACTGATGCTTGAACTAGAGCCCTCTAAGAATTCCCCCAATTTCTAGAGCAAAAGGATGCTGCTATAGCCATCAGCTACCTCGACAAGCCCTGGACTTCCCACCTTTTGACTTTGTTTCAAAGAAGTCATCTTCTTCATTGGCACTTTCTAGACCCTCGCCAGCTTTGACCTTCAGACTGCCCTAGATGTTTTTTCCTAATATTTAGTCTACAGCTCTTGCCAACATTTCCTGAGTGAAGGTCTCAGAGAGGTTAAATACAAGTTAGTCCTGGTGTCAACTGAACTTTCGGCTGTCAGCAATAGTATCTCAGGATTTTCTCATTGCTTTTTGTTCCTGCTACTTAAGAAGTGTCAGTTATCATTTCTGTCACTGTTTACTTTCATTAGGGATTCAACCTGGACAGGAAGAAACTGTGGAATGTGGAAGAAACTGGTTGCTTCAATACCACCCATATGCCCCAAAAGAATCCTCTTGTCCTGTGAAAGCCTAATTTTTGGTGGGGTGGGGAACAAAATCTTGCCTTAGAAAAGGAGGAAGAGAAATGCTATTTAGAACTCCTGAATGTTGTTCATATCATTGCATCATCCCACGTGCACTGCATGGAGGCTGGGTGTCTGGCTAGTCAGTAAAGAAAAAGCAACTGGGAAACTGTCCTCCTGTTAAAAATGAAAAAACTAATATGAAAGAAGGTCCTAATTTGCACCTTCTGGACACTGACTGGAGCCACAGCACCCTTTGCTTTTTCCCAAGTCATGGTTCCTCTGCTGGTACTAAATTGGGACTGCTGCGGCAGCACCCTCTGAGATTGACACTTCTCTGTTACTGAGAAGGGTGTAGAATGACTTTGGGTCACATGATCCTCAACCTGGGGATGAGACCCAAAATCTGCCACTGGGCATGGTTGTGGTGAGGACAAATGGAACATGGTTGTGGGACATGATTGGGACACCCTGTAAATAGTATGCTGTCATCTAGTAGTTTTATATTAGAATTTGGGGTTATCCGGTTTCAACCTGAGCTCTCAAGGACCAAGAACATTTCCCCACCCTGAAGTGAGTTACTTTCGAGAACAAGCTTTTTGGGTAGAAAACTTATTTCCAGGGCTTTGTTCCTCCAAATCTGCCCCTCCTCATCTGGTCACTCTGTGTTGCTCCGTGCACACCAACACAGGAAGTTTATACACTGCAAACACTTTCAAAGGGGTAGAAATATATTTTAAAGCATCATCTTCTTCTCAAACTAAAGGGGTGGGAAAATGTGGAAACAACAGGCTAATTTTGGTAAGAAAGAGCCTAATTTTCCAAGTAATTTCCAAGTCACAAGGAATAAAGTCAAATGCTGCTTGCCATAAAACATAAAAGTATTTTTGATAAAATAGAGCTGAATCATAAAAAAAATTACTCCATAAAAATAACCCCCAAAACATGTACCAGTCTTTGGTCCATGAGACCAACTAAGAATGCTAGGCTAATAAGATACTGAAATAGATAACTTTTGATTATTTTCCTATTATGACAGTCTTTGTAAATGATTGTTAATTATGGTTTAACATGATTTATCTAATATCTAATTTTGTTTACATTTTTAATAAGGTACAATTACAAGTGTAGCCACTCATTTATATATATTATATATATATATTTCCTTTGTATAATCTACTTATGAAGTACATAAGCATCATGAAATTTAATATTATTTTAAAATGTTCAAAATTTTAATAATGGTTGTATTTTTTATTTGGTGAACTTGTTAACTATATCTAGACTTTATTTGAATCTAAAGCTTTGAAGTCACTAGAATCCCAGCCTTAGCTTTATGATAATTACATTTTGAAGCAGTTTCCAAAAATGTGTTCTGGGAGGAAATAGGAAATTCATAGATTATTTGTTTTTTATTGAAAAAATATCTCTATTTATTGATGGACATTAATTAAACATGTTTATTATATTTGTGTATTTCTGTATATGCTTAGATAAACTATATACCGAAGTAAATTGTAATTCAACACTAAAAATTGAACTTTGAACACAGAATAAAATCAATCCCATACCTCAGTTCTGTGCAGCTTTTTGTAACCTTAATCACTGTAGCACTGTCCTCCCGTTGTTCATCGATTTGTTCCAGCGGGCCCAGTAACATTGTGAGACTTGTTACTGTGTTTGGCATATGGAAACGTCACGGGTAGCCTGCCAGGCTTTGCTGTGCGGGCGAGATACTCTCGGTAGCTTGCCGGGCTCTCAGAGAAGGGTGGGGGAATCGAACCCGGCTCAGCTGGGCTGACTGCGTGCCAGGCAAACGCCCTACTGCTGTGCTACTGCTCAGTCACCAGCACTGGTAGTGATCAACCTTAATCAATCCCTCGGAAACTTTGGGTCTTTGAAAATGGAGACATTTCTGTCTCTAGCATAAAATTCTCCTCAAGGCAAAGACAGAAGTCCACCAGGTAATGGGGTTCAACCTGCCTCCCGATCTGTGCATTTGTCAGCCACCTGCATCCAAGTCTCAAGCACCAGGACAGCTCTCTCTGGTATGGTTATCCCAAGAAGAGAAGGAGGTAGAAGGGTATCCAGTTCAGTCCCTCTCTTGTATAGACCAGAGGAGCATTCAAGAGAGCATGACAACACTATATCCAGAGACATGGAGTGATATTTTTGAGCATATGCCTCTTGTGAAAATCATCTTTTTGTGGTTGTTGTTACCATGAATATCCTTACCTGAAGTTCCTGGAAGATTAGATTCAATGGTGGTGAAATTCAAGCTGATCTGAGAAGGGTACAGGAAATGACCCTTGCCAGCAGGCAGGACTATGGTACTTGTCCAAGCTCTATGAAATTCCCCAAACCTCTGTTATCTCATGTATAAAATGTAGGGATGGGCAAGAATCACTGTCACTGTCACTGTCCTCCCATTGTTCATCGATTTCCTTGAGTGGGCCCAGTCACATTGTGAGACTTGTTACTGTGTTTGGCATATCGAATACGTCATGGGTAGCTTGCCAGGCTTTGCGAGCGGGATACTCTTGGTAGCTTGCCAGACTCTCCTAGAAGGGTGGGGGAATCGAACTCGGCTCAGCCATGTTGGCTGCGTACAAGGCGAACACCCTACCCGTTGTGCTATCCCTCCAGCCCGGGCAAGAATAAGGGTTTCAAATAAGACTTTCTTCAAGTACAAATTTACCCCAAACCCTACTGAACATAGGCCAAAGTAGAGTGGATCCAAGGTAAGTCCAGGTTCCCCATCTCTGCCCATTTTGTTAGTGACCTTAAAAGCCTTAAATAGCTCTTCCAGATTTTTCCTCTTAATTGTTTTCTTTTCCCCTTCTAGTTTTCCTAAAGTTTACTCAGGATTCCTATAAACAATTTACCTAGATATTACTCTCAGAATCACATCTGTCTACTTAGAGAACCTCCTCTATGTGGAAAATGCTCTTCTTGTGTCCTAGAATGAAGACCTGAGCTTTCTGTGAAGTATGTTCTGTGAAGCATCTGCTATATCTGGCAGATAATCAGTCTTATCTGAAGCCTTAGAAGACTGTTCTCTTTCTTGCTTGCTTTTGAAATGATCTTTCTTCATTTTGGAGCAGCCACAGTACTAACTTATCCAGCTATAGTACTAACTCATCCAGTACTAACTGAGTTAGTTCTTACTTTGTATTATAGGTTTATTTTACAATTCTGTGGATACATAATGCTCTCTTTAAACAGAAAATAAGCAAGTAGATAGACATACACAAAATCTACACAAAATCAGATAATTTTATATATCAATTTTATAAAACAAAACAAAAAAACAAAAAACAACCAAAGAGATGGAATTTATGTTATCTGAAGAAGTCAGGCAAAGCTTCCAGGAGGAATTCAACTCTGTGACCTGGACAAGAATGCTAAAGGGGCATAAGTAGTCTATTTGTGGGAAGAAGGATTGCGATGCCAAACAAAGGAAACAAGAAGTACAAAACCTGTGGCCGAAATGAGCATGGCTCGTGTGGCTGGGTCAGTGAATGTAAAGGAAATTATTGGAGAAGGGTCAGAGAAGAAAGGAGAGCTGATAATGATTTAGTGCCAGGTTGGTGGGAAAATAATATCCATAAAACCCTACAAGGTAAGTGTTATTTTTCCATCATCTGGATAAAAAAAATGAGCTACACATCAGTGAAGTTAATCCAAATGCAGATACCCTAACCCAAGGATCCAAGAACTGCAAGGAGCTGTAAATAGAACACAGGCTCTACTAAAGGTCTATCATATGATCCCCATATCACTGATTGAGAGGGAGCTTAATCAACCTGAGGTCTGCTGTCTTTAGCAGCAGGTAGCACTGTAGCACTGTAGCACTGTCCTTCCGCGTGGGCCCAGTAACATCTCCATTGTGAGACTTTGTTGTTACTATGTTTGCCAATCTTAAAACAAAATGTCTCTTTTCCTCTTCTCTTTTCTTTTATCCAGGAACTGTCTGTAAACAAAGAAATGCATATTTGAGCAGTGTTTGTCTTCAACTCTAAGTGAACTAATTCCAAATAATACCTACATATAAACCTATTCTTAGCCAGCCATAAAGTGGTTTCTCATTAAAATTGTTTATTTTATCCAGAAATAGAAGATTTTGTAATGGTGCATGTGTGTGTGTGCTCGTGCACATTTGTGTGTGTGTGTCTTTATCCCATGTTCCTTAACTTCATCATTATTGATATCATCCTTAATCATTTCACTTATCTTTCATTTGGGCAGTTACATTGGGATCAAAA